TATTGGTCACTGCTATTACAATGTCATCACCTCATCATCACTACCATACCATTAACACATATTGGTCACTGCTATTATAATGTCATCACTAGACACATATTGATAAACAAATAGTACATGATTGAGATTGGCTCTATTTTATAGAGATACTGAAAATATGTATGTAGTATTTTAAAAGTTGAACTCAAAAGACATAGACATCTATATGTAGCTATATGACATTTAAAATTTGAACAAAAAATGGTAAAGTTGTTGGTGGCACATTAGTTCCTGTTGTTGTCCTTCGTAGCGTCCTGAACTAGTGAGTGCGTCTCAGGCTTATTTAAGCATTGCTGGAAAAGTAGCTATTTTTTGTTTGTTTGTTTTATTTGTTCGAGTGATGTTACGCTCGCTTCACTACCGGAGTAGTTCTGCTATAAGCAGACAACATCACCTAGCTGGGACGTACTCAATAGTTCAGCAACGTTAAAGTGTTATCATTGACTGGATGGATGGCAGAATCGAAATCAAAGTATTCCTTCAAATAATTTCATCCGGTAAGCATTAATTTTATGGGGACTCCGCCGGGTAACAAAATACGAGGATAATTTCTAAATTGTCCGTCAAGTTGCCACTAGAATCTTGGTGGAAACTTGGCATCAAAAGAAAACAATTAAAGCAGTTTCAATTAAGTGTTTGGTCTACCCACGGACGCCACTAGAATCTTGGTAGAAACTTGGCATCAAAAGAAAACACAATTAAAGCAGTTTCAATTAAGTGTTTGGTCTACCCACGGACTTGGATCTAATCTAATTCCGTGGTCTACCATTCGCAGGTAGATGTTAAAACGTTGGCATTCTTCTGAACCAGTGCAGACTACAAAATAAAAGTGCGCATGTCAGTGAAATTGGCCCGTTAAACATCGAGTTCAAGTTTAGACTGTTTTTTACAAAAAAAACCACGTTGGCTCAGGTAAATATTTATATACATGTATTTGTGACGCGCACCTGCTCGATATCTTACGTTGGTGATATCGGTGTCCTATCCAAGTTTGAAAATCCCGATTCTGAATCAAACGCAGACGTGACGTTACTTTGGTATCGAATGGTCACAACATATGACAGTCGTTGGTTCGAGGGTAGGATATAGCCATGGCATTGTGATTCTCGTTTCGGACATCGGTGTATGTCAACGTAGGATCAATGAAGATGGTAAGCATATTTTTGTTTATATGGCACAGTAAAGGACACAATATGGTGTGCATTTATAAGCTTTCCTGAAAAAGGTCGGTGACCGATCGATCATAGAGAGACGGGTGCATTCCACTTTCAACTTCCTGATCATGTATATATACAAGTCTGTTCATCGTTAGCACCCAGTCAGTGATAGCGGTGCATTTTCTAAAAAAATGCGGCCCCAAGCAGTAGCCCGATTTTCCTCGGGTCCTAACACCAGACTAAGACATTTTGACAGATAGATGTACCCACACCGGACATCTATATCCTCGGGTTACCGATTTCCGCGCACTTAAGAAGCATCCGCGATTTCGTACTCATATCGGCAGAAAACTGTTGAAATTACGGAAGACTGTCATAAACATATATACAATCTACTAAAGAAAACAAAAAAAATAGCAACATAAAACTGTATTTAAAAACCCACAGAACAAACAAATTTTAACAATTTTTTCCTGTCGGAAGTAGCCGTCATGTTTCCGTGTGTCTATTTTGATTTAGTGTTCTCGAATACACTAAAAAGAAATTCTCTACAGTCACCTGCAAGAACAAGAGCTTCATTTGGAATAAAAAATATCTTTGATCGTCAAATTAATTATCAAAACTATTTTTTTTTAAATTCCACATTTTTGATTGATTTTTCAAGATGTCCAATTGAAGGAATTCATGTAATATTATAAATTTATTTATTATATTTATTTAGTTATAATATAGAATCTGTTTTTTTTTCTCTCTGTAGTCTTATATCGGTTTTGGTTGATGGTAAGTTATTTCTCATTTTGTTCAGTTTAAAATTGATGAAAATTGGAAGTTCATTGCATTAAAAGGTTTACATTTCATTGAAAACACTGTTTACCGATATAAGAATATCTCCTTGGCTCTTCGGAAGTGGAAAAAAATCAGCGAGGAGATGTGGCCTCATTTGCATGCGACATTTTCGTACGTTTGTCAGACTACAAAAAAGACTGGTTCATGAATGAAATTTTCTATAACACCGTTTTTTCAGGTATGGGCTCATTTTGAGCAAGATAAAGAGTGCATTAACCAAAACTGCATATTTATGCATGTTTTTTTAATCAGTGATTATTTCTTATGTTTTTCCGGACGAACTTCCGGTAATTTTTGTGTCAGTTTAAAGATGATGGCCAAACGTCTAAAATATCCTTGTTTTGTGTCCAGCAGATCACGTAGTTACGAGATATAGCTTGATAGAATGGCTGCACAGAAATACATAACGCGCAGAAACTGGTGACTAGACGATATGTCAAAATGTCTTAAGTCTGGTGTTAGGGCCAGAGAAAACTCTGCTAGACCATACACTAGTCATGCATGTAAGCTTACTAACGTTAAAAATCACCAGTAAGTGTTATGCAGTGAATTGTTAAAGTTAAAGTTAGTTTCCAATACAGGAGCTGATAGAGTTCCTTTACTGGACTCAAAAATTAAATTATTGTATAATATAAAGTTCATTGTTAACTACATAATTTTGCCCTATAATTATAATAAAATTCTTCATTCTGCCAAAGTTTGAATCTTTGAAATCTATTCTGTTCTTAAAAGTATTGATATTTGGAGGAGATACAACGTCCTATTGAAGATTGTTCCAGGTTTTGACTGTTCCCAATGTGAAATAGTTTCTCCTCAGGGATGTTGTTGACTGATATGGGAATATTTTTTTTCAAGTTTCCTCTTGTACTATTTTTGATTGATTCCTCACTCCAAAGCTAAACAAAAGAACATGCCTATCTTCGTAACTGCAAAAGCGAAAAATAAACACCTTTTTTCCCCATTTGTTACTGTCAGGTTAGTTGAAATTTCTAAAACTGCACACTAAGAATAGCAATTATCACATGCTATTTCTTGCACTTAAGACTCATGTACATATATGTCATGGTATAATGGGTTTTTTTGCCCCATAAAGTCATCAAAATTAAAAAACTTTAATTTTCAAATAATTGTATTGAAATTTCCCCAATACGGCAAAATATTTATTTGTATTTTCATGTATGGTTGTCCTGGAAATCAAGATTTAGCTCAGATTTTTTCTTATGGAAATTAATTAATTATAAACCAAATATCCTTTTCATGAAAAAACGTATCATTACAGGAGACTGTTTGGTACTGATTACATCTAAAGGAGAAATATAGAGTTTGTTCATAAATGTGCTCCTTCGACACTTATTTGTGAAACCTTGACAAAATTGACGGAATATTTTGAAATGGTCCTTATATATTAATTAGATGGTGAGGATACTCAGGAAGGGGCAGACACTCAGGTGGCTTGAGGGGGATATAACAGGTTATAGAGAAGGCAAAACATTCAAAATATACTTATAGTTGGATTTTGACCAAATTTTTGTGAAATGCTCCTAAAAAGATGAGGTCAGGATCTGAATCTTTGCTCAAGAAAGGTCTGTTGACCATCGATTGGGCTGAGGAGAAATGCCATAAGGAATGCATTGAAGTTCAAAACTTTCAAATGGCATCTCCTCTGAAATGTTACTATATCCAAGGGTCAAATGGATTGGTCAAAATGTCCCAAACCATCTCCCAGCTCTGTCACTTTAGTCAGAAAACAATAGTGAATGATACATCTTAGTTGGAAACATAGGACTGACCTAGACTGACCTTAACTGCTACTAAATATTTAAGTGACCATATGTGACTGATTTTGCTCCGATAATCAACTTAAAGCCTACATCTATTGTGAGATCAATGTAACAAGTGTCGCTTATGCTGATATATGTAAGTTTGTCAGAGAAAAATAAATAAAAAGATGTACAGTGAAACTTTATTTGAAGGGCAATGTTTTTAGATAAGAATTAAATCATAATTTTGTTAAAAATATTACAAATGCTCCTATATATTTATATAATATGAACTAGCTTAAGTGTTCTTCCCCTTAAAACAAACATACAACAAAATGTCAACATTACCATAAATGTTTTTATAAAATATTATCTTAATACCATCCAAAGAATGAACCTAGTAAACTCTCTGCATCATCATATTAAGACAGTAGACTCAAATATTTCGAATAGATAATTAGGAACATTGGATAAAGAGACCTATTCAGAGAGGTAGTATCTGACTTTGGTTTGTTTGTGTTTTACGTCCTATTAACAGCTGTGGTCATTTAAGGTCATAGGAGTGTATCGCTAAGCGGAAATAGGAAGTACATCCCTAGTTGAAAACCCAATGTAGGGAGACAGTATCACAATTTCCGCATATTCTAATGTTTAATATAAAACTGGTGAATATTGTATGTTGTTTATTGATAGAACAGTGTGTTCTTTCAATATTAAAGTATTTCAAAGCAATCCAGACATTAATTCAGTTGTTTTTAGGTCACCTGAGACAAAGTCTCAAGTGACCTATTGCGATCGCCTTTTGTCCGTCGTCGTCCGTCGTCCGTCCGTAAACAATTTACATTTTCGACTTCTTCTCCAAAACCCCTGAACCAATTTCAATGAAATTTTGCAGGGACCTTCCATGGACAAAGGTCAACAAAAA